ACAAAATTTTTAACTTTAAGTGACTGAAAATGACGGTTTATTAGTTTTACTATTTATGAATATTTCAAGTTGCTGCGGGCGACATAAATCTTGTGGCGGGTCGCTCTTTGGAAACCCGATCTAAGTGCTACATGAACCTACGGATTTAGCGATTCCCCATAATAAGAATAATAATAAAATAAAATAATACTAAGAATGTATGGTTGATTGCGGTTCTGGATTTCATTATCACCACACATCGGTGTGGTGTTACATTATGCGGTGGTAGTGACAAGGTCACTGTTGACAGAATGGTTGTTCAGTGGGTCCTTGACTGTCCAATATATCAGTTTCTCACATGTTTAATTCCTTGGATCAAAAGCTCCTCACTTACATCAATGAAAAAATTCTCGAGGGACACGATCCTTCAAGGGATCCCTCAGGTACTTTAAAAAATATAGAACTGGATGTGCTAGACTACCGACAAGATGTACATGAGTGCTTAAGATACCTCCTATTCATTAATATTTTTATTATATTCTCGGGGAAGCGCTGAACCTGTAGAGGTCATACAGCTCCTGGCGATGAGAGGTACGTTGATCAGGTCTGATCCAAGCTTGTAAAGTTCAGTGATGGCCGAAAAGTTATAACAAAGTTTTAACTGCAGACACAGTGTCTTTCTCGCCCGACCAGAGTAGTTCTAATTCCTTGGATGAAGAGCCTTTCGCCGGCATCAAGGCATTCCTCGCCCCTCCTGAAGAGGCAGAGTAAGGGAGTATATGAGTCAGGAGTGTGGGTGGAGGACCCGGCAGTAGAGGCTGTCTGGCGGTCCAAGGCGAGGTGCTCTGCTCCAGGTAGGGCAGGGTGCTCCTCCCTTTGACTGAGAATGGAAATGCGATATGCATACTAAACAACACTTGTTAAACATACAGGTTACGAAGAATAAAAATCACAATACTGTGGCCGCAATGGTGTACAACACCCAAGACATAATGGTTCGGAAGTTACTGAAAGGTCGTCTAGTTTTCATGTCCATAGACGAGGTATTGGTTTATTTGTGAGACTTCATATTACTTAATCCGTAATATGATTTAAGTAACTCTTGATATATACACACAAAGATATAAACTTCTCGGTCTATATACATTGTTTTGATAGGTTTAGTACCTATCGACTTCACGTGGGCTGTAAGACTACATTTCACTTGTACACCACCAGTTAGGCATATTTTAATCCTTAAAACAAATTAAACTCAGTGTATATATACTGACATATATTCCCATGAGTGTTCATGTCAGTGTACCCTGTTTATAGGTTAGATGTGAATATAGGTTACAGACTGCGACAAGCCAGACTGTCAAAAATAAATTGATTTAGTTCATATTAGAAATGGAATTTTTCTAATCCCAGTATAGTATAAGCTCATAAATATGCGGCAGTTGTTCGGTAACACTGTATATATTCTACATCGAAACCGAAAAGTAGATAGGGAAAACTGACAAATAAAAGACTTAATTTATGTCCCTGATTCAACAAAGGTCAATGGAACTAACGAACTAACATGGAGTAAGAGTATAATAAGTATTCTATGATGAAATATCATTGTGTAGCGGACTTCTCAGTTAATTGAGAAAACCCACATGGAGACAGAAACAGTCTCCGGTAAACTGTGTCCACTTGCGTTAGAAAGTCTCCTGGACACTGTCTCCACTTGGGTTATTTCAACTCAAAGTACTGTATAATTCAGCCTCACACTGGAGCCGTCTTATTCACACTAGAAGGTTTAATACAATGAATGATTTTTAAAATCCACTGACGAGGGTCTAAGCAGCAAGCAGATACATGCAGTACTCTTCTTGTCCTCAGACATACTATGTTTTGTCACTATACATACATTTCTCAAAGATTCCAGTTAATATTACCTCACATTTCCCCGGCGCTGTATTACTACCTACGGGTTTAGTTCTTCCTCTTGACTATAATAATTATACCAAATATCCCAACTTATTATTATATTCATGGATTATTTATTTTAATTAGGGGAAAAAATAGTAAACTCGTAGAAGTCATATAACATCTGGAAAATTAGAGGCATTCAAATTCGATCCAAGAGAGGGCAGGATAAGTCCAGCTCCTTGTATCAAGATCCCTCACGACGTCAAGGCACCTTTCTTAAAGGGGTTATATTCTAGAAGTACTAAACCCGAAGCGGTTATATTGCGTCGTGGTATTAGACAAGGCATAAGAGAACCTTGCGCTATACTATCATCGTCTCAATTATTTAGATCAGTGGTTCTCAACCCGGGGTAAATTTATCCCCAGAGAGTAATAAAATTTCATGTCTTGGATTAAATACATCAATCCCAAAAAAAGAAGCAATATTTCCGAATTATTCACTAGAACTGAACTTTTGTCATAAAGTTTATGTCATAAGTTTATGTTACGGCTTATTACAGGATTGGAGTAAATGACAAGAAGTGTTGAGAATCCCTGATGTAGATTCTTGAGGGAATTTAGAGGTAGGTAGAATAAAACTTGTCTTTCTCAGAAGGTACCCTGGATTTGTATCTCTAGGTCTCCTCTTATCTGCCTTTCCCATGTACTTAGCTGAGAAGGAAATAATTATTATTATATATTGTGGACTGAGAAGCGTTAAATCAGTAGGAGTCAAGCAGCGCCTGGGAGATGGGGTGGTAATCAGGTTAGATCCGAGGAAGAGAGCCATCCCAGCTCCTTGAACGAAGAACCCGTCAGCCTCAATAAGAAACACACAGGAAAAAAAAATACCATAAGAGCAAAAGCCTATTTATTGAAATTATAAATTTGTGCAAAACGTTTACGAGGCTTCCGGTTCACACCCATATGGCAGTACTTCCTGTTTATTCCCACTTCATATATGATTTCTCTGTCCTTTCCCGGCCCGTTAATTTTAGGTTGAAATAATATTGGTAAACATTCCCACACTACACGCCCAGTGTTGTAAAATACTTGTTTGAAGGATGTACTGAAACTTCAGAAATATTATATATAAAAAATAGTTTTCAGAGCTTTTTTAATATAAATATTACTGGGTTACTTGTGGGAAAGCGCTTAACCAGTAGGGCTCATACAGCAGCTGGAAAATGATATGCAAACAAGATCTGGTCTATGGGAGGGAAGGATAACTCTAGTTCCTTGAATCTAGAGCCCGTCATCATCATCAAACTACTCCTCCCCTCCACTTCTATGCAGAGGTTTATTAAGTTATATTTCGTTCTGTGTAGAGCTTTATCAAGTCAATTTTAGAGTAGAACAAAATTTAAAACAGTGTAGCTAGCCTACACCTGCATTTTCTACTTAAATAAATGTTTAATTGCACGTAATCTAGAGATTACAAGTGATATAGGGCATTTTCCCAAGGCCTAATTCCCCCCAACTCGCTACTTTCTCCGGATTATTATTGAGGTGAAGCGCTTAACTCGCACTTCTCGTTTTGATGATCCTTGATATATCCAGATCAACCCCCATGCACTGAGGAACAAAAGATGAGTGATTATTTTTATAATCATGTGGAATCTTCAAATCAGTAGGGATCATACAGAGACTGGGGTATTGGAGGTAGTCAGGTGAGAAGGGACAGGTAGCTACAATTTCTCTGACCACTGCCCGAAATGCATTACATGACCATGGGCTTTTCCTAGACTGACTTGTTTACAGTAAGCTCTTATAAAGCTCTTCTGTATTGAGTTTTCTGTAAATGTGACTGAAAATGTGCATCCAAAATTGAAGAGTGCGTATTGTGAAGGCCCTTCTACGCTCTTTTCAACTTTGGGTGTATGTACTTTTTCAATCGCATTTACAAAATATTGCACAATATAGAGGAGTTTTATAAGGGAGCTTACCGCATAATGTAATGTATTATGGAAGATAAATTTTACCTTAATTCACTAGTATCAAGGCCTCGCTGGTATCTAGGTACCCTCCTTGAGAGGCAAATATGGCTCATGTTCTTGCATCAAGTTTTCCCGTGTTAGCTACAAGGCTCTGCACAGCGACACCCACACGGACCAGCAACCTGCTGAATCTTTCTCCATTTTCTCACTGTTCGGGCTATCACTACCTCTCCAAGCTCGTCATCGAGTGGAGTAGTGCAAATATTTCTGGTAGGTATTTCTTCCAGAGGATGGCTTGACTACTTTTATCAGTAAATATTAATTATAGTGTGTGTGAGAGGGTAGGCACTGGGTGTGTGGGATGCGACTCAGGGCCAGTGAGAGAGCAGCTTCTATCCTCTCACCCACACCTGATGGATAGATACATTGCTGCACGTTTATTTAAGCTCTAATTGTCAATACAAATCTTTTATCAAGAAATTACATTGTTGTATCGTACAATAAGATTATTGCCATACATCAGCGACAAAGACAGCTCAGAGAGACTTAAAATACGTACTTTCCTAAAAGTTATACTCGAATGTACTCAGAAGTGTGCATCTCTCAATAAATATACATTGAGAGCTTATCTAAATCCCTTTAAACCCAAATAAAATACCATGTTCTATATTTTAGGGATTAAGGCATCCTTAACCAAGGGTGTTTAATTATTATTATTATTATTTAAATATAGGAGTAATCAGGTTTGATTCATGTAAGAGGGGGATGTCTCCAGTTCATTAACAGCAAGGTATCCCCCCCACCCTTGAAGTGGGGTTTAAAAGTGAAAATTATGTTTGTGCATGACTGTGGGAGGAAGACATGGGGAGGGGCATATTTAGATGGGTTGTGGGGAGGACTGGGGCAGACTCGGTATGGTAAGGGAGGAGTCAGGATAGGGGGTTGGAGAGGTTAGGAGAGGAGTTAGGGTAAAGGTTGGAGAATCCTTGGAGAGAGGAGGGGTTATGGAAAGGATTTAAGGGGAGGGATTGGTATTGTGGGGGGTTAGGAGAGGAGGTATCAGGTGGGGGAGAACCGTGGGTGGGTTCCATGGGTGTGTTGAGGGAAGGGGTGGGCAGGAGTGAGTGTATCGTGGTAGCCTGGGATCCCTCTGCCTTACACTTCACCGCCCGACTCCCTCCAGTCAACACGAGACCAGAGGTCGGGTCCTAGTTATTTTAGTCTAGTCGAGGCAGAGCAACACACACGCACCATGAGGGAGATCCTACACCTGCAGACTGGCCAGTGCGGTAACCAAATCGGATCCAAAGTAAGTACAACACATTACTGTCAGTTTAAATCTGCATTTATGATGCCTTCATGGAGCTTTGATGCCGGTGAAGAGGTCTTGGTCGAAAGAATTGCATCTGCCCTCTACGTTCCTGAATCGAATTTGATTGCCTTTCATTTCCCAGGGCTTATAATCCCTACCGGCTTAGGGTTTCCCCATGACTATAATAATAATGTCATTTATTTAATGTGTGTCGAATATTTGAGAGCAAACAATTAGTATTGCCTTTTTGAATTCGATACAGTCGTAAAGTTATAGTTTAAACACTTAAGTTTAATAAATTAGATATACTTTTCTCTGCATGCAGTTATAAATAGCTAAGTATATAATATTCTTATATCCTCTCAACCGTGGCATAAAAATATTTTGCACTTAAACTGCACGCAGCAGTTGCGTCTATAGATGCGCACCCGTGTTTCATTTCCCATAAGCTTTCGTTCAGTCATGGGCAGTCCTCAGTGGTATTACAAATTACAAGGTTACGTGGTATGGCACTTCCTTCTCCCTGCCTTAGTTATACAGACCTGAAGAGACGGAGCTCTCGATGCTTTCCCTGTCGACCACAACCTTAGTGGCACTCGACCAGATGGCATCTGGCAGACCGGCAGCCATATCTTCCAATTCTCCTAAAGTATTCGATGTATTTTCTCCAAACTTCGCATTATTATATAAAATTATGTGGATCATACAGTGCTGGGGGGAATGAGAGGTTATCATGTTTGATCCCAAGAAGGGGAGAGTAGCTCAGATTCCAAGGATCAAGAGCCCTTCACCAGCATCTGGGCACCTCCCGTGAAGGGCCAAACTTCGTATTATTAGTTAGTGTTTATGCCCCTGGGAACACTACGTTAGGATATTACCGAAATTGCTGCCTCGGTGTCTAGTGTAATCAATAGTGTTCAGCCACAACGTGCATGATTTAGATTTTTGTGAGTTAAGGGAGTTTTATTAGCGTTTAAGGGGAGTATTTCCTTAACATACAACGAATAAATCATAACGTAATACAAGGAGTAAATTTTATCCTAATGTACAAAGAATGAATCTTACTTTTAGGTAGCCTACCCAACATAGGAGTGAATCTTAACATGTATGGGCGTCAAGGGAGGTGTGTACAGGCAGGAAGGTGTGGGTAAGTATGGGCGTATAATGAGGTGTGGGCGGGCGGTGAAGCATGGGCGGGCGGTGAGGTGTGGGTGCTGGCTGTGGGAAGCCCAGAAGTTCTACACAACCACTGGCGGAAGCACAACAAAGACTAATTCACGATAAAACCACCCTCTGGAAAAATATGAGTGCGTTGGTGTTTATATAGCACAACCTTCGCTTACTATGACTCACGATAACACCATCAATAACACCAGTGAGAGTGTCACTCGAATTTCTTGCCGTAAACAGTGAAGACAACACATTAAGTTGTTTTCGTTCTGTATTGGTTTGGCAACAAAGTTGTAGATAAGAGGGATAAACTCTAGGTAGCGCCACTGATGCCAACCTTTTGGGTAGCTTGAAATGTAGGTTGGATGAGTACATGAGTGAGTGTGAACTGGACCTGCCTAACATGGGCCATTAGGCCTACTGCAGCGCTCTTTCGTTCTTGTGTTGTATTCGTATAAAAGCTCGTTCTGGTGTGTGGCTCTTTTCTTCACGAGAGGGAGTGCAGACAAGCGGAACTAGATGGCAGCTTGTTTTGTTTACCTTCACTAATGAACCCGGAAAACGATATAATGAACCCCAGAAGGCGAGATAATGAACCCCAGGAAGCGCTTAAATGAACCCTGGAAGTTTGACAAGAAATGCTAAAAGGTGAGGTAATTAACCCAGCAGACGACACAATAAACCCCTCAAACTAAAACAGTTAACCCAAAAGCGACATAACGAATCCCTATAGGCGAGAGAATGAACCCATCCGGCAAGACAATGACTCCTTGAGTTCAGCTGTATTCCAGAATACCTTAATCTTGAGACCTACTTTATTCCACGACACAGAGGTGCAACACACCTGCATATTGACGGCTTTGTTGTGCCGGGCCTGCATGCCTGCATCGTATATATTAATGTCTCTGTAACGCCAAGGAATGCTGTGCAGCGATACACAGCTGGTAATTTATGCCTGATATCTACATGATTTACGTAAATGCAGCCATAATTCATGTGTATTGCAGGGTAACAATAATAAAATCTAAGCAGGTAAATATTGCCTTCATGGTAGAAGAGATTTGGTTCAGGGACAGTGAGATGTTTACTGTTTATTGTGCTCACACGCATGCAAAACAGGAACATGAGAAAACATCATCCAAACTATTGAAAAAGAAAAACAGAAAAAAAATTATAAAATATTTCGTCACAACTAGGAGATATAGCTACGGTGGGCTTGGTTTGGTATTAGTTATAGAGTGAAACAAACTCCCAGGTAACGTCATTGAGGCAAGAACTTCGGATAGCTTTATAGGTTGGACGTGAGAGTTGAACCTGTTTACCATGGGCCAACAGGCCTACTGCAGTGGTCCTTCATTCTCATGGTCTTATGCTCATATGATTCAAAGAGAAGAATTATGTGCTACGACCACTGGAATCTTAAGAAAATCATGACTAGAGTAAATGCTGAAGATGGACTCGAAATACCTCTCTTCCTGTAACTACTAATGGTAGCTTCCCTTCCTTTCTCTTTCTTTCTCTCTCTGTCTCACACACCACTTTATCGATGCAGACTTGAGGTTCATCTGCAGCCACAGCTTTATTATTATTATTATTATTATTATCAAAAGGAAAAACCTGAACTCTTAGGGGTCATACAGCGCATGGTTTGGAAGGCAATGATGTTTGATCCATGGGAAGCATAGGTTTACTTCCTTGAAGCAAGAGCCCCTCACTGGCATAAAGGTAACAACCTGGTTAAGTACACATGATTCTGACACATACTTTGGAGCAGCGACAAAGTAGACACAGAGAAGTCTGTTTCTTACTGGAGAGGAAACGATTAGGACTATGGTACCTCACTTGAAGGGCAGGGTACCTCCCGTGAAGGGTAGGCTACTTCCCTTGAGGGCAGGGTACCTCCGTTGAAGGGCAGGGTACCGCCCTCGAAGGGCAGGATACCTCCCGTAAAGGGAAGGGTACCTCCCGTGAAGGGCAGGGAGGGGCCTGATGCCGGTGAAGGGCTCTTATTCGAAGAAATTAAGATATACTTCCCTTCCTTTGATCAAAATCTTGCGTGGTTTTTCCTCATGAATTTAATACTACTAGTAGTAGTAATTAATACTAATAATACACACAACATGCATTTACCGAAATGGACTTAATACATACAATCACATATATTGCAAGAAATACATTTGAATCCTAATTTTACGAAAATTGTTGTTTCGTGGACATTGTGGAATATACACAAACAGTGTATTCTATAAATAATCAGGGTTATTTGACGAAAATTCTCAAGCCTGCAGTGACTGCTATATAAGGAAAATGTCTCAGATTTACAAATGATGCACAGTAATCATGGCACGACATATGCATGTCAGGCAAACATTTCTCAATGTATAATTGCACAGAGAGCGAAACGTAGAGACAGTTTCAAGGTTGAAGGTGTCTTCTTGTGTTTACATACATAACAGGGATCCTCTAATGAAGTCTATATATTTTTTCACAGAAAGACTAACAAAAAAAAAAAAATGAATGCATGCGATTTTCCACAGGCCGTTTAGCGCTGTGTGACACATTAGGATTTAGGACTTTCATGTATATATAATAGTGATGGCACAGCAGGAGTCAGAAAATAGGCGGCTGCCCCTTGTGAATAATTCTACATAAATTAACTCTCCAGTGGGAGTGCCTTTGATCGTATTTTGTTACCCCCCGTTCCTCAGGCACAGTGTGACCTCTACAACTTCAATGCTTTATGTGAATAAATTAATAAAAATAATCCAAGAAAAACATCCTCTTGAACTGAAAGAACACTAATTCAGATTTAGGATAATAGCTGTACTCTCCATATGTTTGGTTACAGTAGGAGACTGTACTCACCTATGTATATGTGACTGCAGGGGTCAGTTCACAGCTCTTGGCTCCGCCTTTTCGCTGATCGCTGCTAGGTCCATTCCCGGCTCAAAGAGCCTTATCGTACTTCTTCTTAAAGCTATGTATGGATCCTGATTTCACTACACTGTGTGTGTGCGTGTTCGTGCAGGTATGAGTTACAGGAGGGTAGAGATGCTAGGCATTTCTACCTCAATGGAAATAAGCCACTGACTTTTTTTTGGGGGGTTATCGTAGGTAATCTACACATATGCTGCTATATATGATAATTTATGTAACTGTATTTAAGTGCTAGGCCTGGGGACACTTGGTCCCAAAGATGAGGAGGTACTTGTCCCTCCTCCCATGGGAGACTTAAGTCTCGAGACACTCCCCAGATAGGGAGCCAAGGCCTCTTGATCTTGATCTGATGACCAGAGCTTTGGTAAGATGGGTAAGGAAGAAGGATGGGTAAGGATGGAAATATTGGAAAAGGGTGGGAGGGGGGGAGAGGTAGGATATTAAAGGTAAGTGGCCCAACCACTTTGGTGCAAATTAAAATGTGTATGTGATTTAATAAGGTATTCTTTAAGAGGTATAATACTAACCCATCAGAGTCACATAGATATAATAGGTATATAACTACATGACTCTGAATTGGTAGTAATTATACAAGTTGCAATTGCATTTTTTTTTTTTTTTTTTTTTTTTTTTTTTTTTTCGCAGTTGCACAACAGATATTTATACGACAGGAAAGGCAATGATTTTCTGGCCAGTTTATAAGTTCGTGACAATAGCTTCTTAATGGTGGTGTCCAACAATAGTCAATAGCATAATTTTACATTAGAAAGTTATTTAAGATGTCTCCCTAATTGGGGGCGATGATTTTCTCAGTATACATAGAAGGGTTCTGGTGGTATCCAATCTTCTTCGTCAGGTAAGTTACTCAAAATCATGGGTCGAGGGTAATC